GTCACGGCGCTCACGGCTCAGTTTCCCAGGGTGCGTCTCCTTGTGGGGGTCTGATCCTGACCCCAGGTGCCCTTTTTGTGCTTCCGGTAGCCCTCCCTCATCCTCGGCTTTCTCCAGCATAGGATCCCTTGTGACCTCAGGGTCAGTTGTTCCTGGAAGGGGCATTGCGCAGAGAAGGCCAGCCGAGAAGCGACGGGCGCTATGGTCTCGGGGTTTGCTTCCTCACCTGGAGGGAATCCAATACAGAAAGTGTCCCTTAGTGATGTCAACACAGAGCAAACAAAACCCCCACTTTTGGAGAATAAAGATGAAGACGGTGCCTCTGGGGCCTCGCGTTTATACTTCTTAAACTCGGGTCTGCAATTTCTTCCCTAATCCTTGGCCTCTTGACGTCTTTAAAAGGGAATCCAAGAGGCAAAGCTGGGCGAGGAACAGAGAACCTGGAGTGGAGACGCCTCACTCGCCACAGCAGCAGAGGCTGGGCAAAGTCACGGTTGTCGCTGCTGGTGACAAATGTGCTCCGAGACAGGAAGTTCCTGGCACTACGGTGACAGGGAAGCGCACCGACCCCGATCCAGACGGGCGGCGGCAGGAGACCAGTGTCCGCTACGCGGACAAGGTGCTGTGGCATGCATTGCTAAAGGCGCAGAGGACTCCCAGAGCAATCAGGAGGGGAATGCGGGAGGTGGAGACAGACAGCAACTGGATGGATAGCAAGAGTTTGGTGTATGTGAATAAAGATTACTTAAGGAGACACAAAATAGGAAACATCCCAAATAAAGGAAGTTAGCGAATGTAACAGACACGTGAACAGAGAATAACATAAAGTTGCTCGTTCCTCCCAAGTATCTGTACATTCAACACAATATCAGGTAAAATTCCAACAGGGGTGTCCATTGATGTTGACACGCTGATGGTGGAATTTGTTTAGAAAATATCTCCAAAGAAGAGTAGAACAGGTCTTGCCAATGAGGAACTGGTATCGTGATGGAGTTATATACATCAAGGCGGTGTGACGAAGGCATAGATGGCAGTGGTCAGAGGAAAGAGACAGAACAGAGAACCTCAGAAACAGGTTTGTGGGATTTTGCTATTTGACAGAAGTAGCAGGAAGTCCAGTGTGCAAAGGAGGAAATGTTCAAACGAACAGCTCTACAAAAACTATGTGACACATGGGAAAAACAAAATTGTACTCTTACCTCCAGACTGATTAAGATTTAGCTGTCAGATGCTAAATGTTAAACATTTTTAATACACAATAGAAATGACGTATATTATCTCTGGGGCCAGCATGGTAGCACAGTGTGTTAAGCTTCTCGGGAGTGAACAACACATTGACCACTCGGAGGCAATGTTCTGTTCCACGCGGTCAAACATATTTTTGCCAAAGGTAAACAGACTCAGCGAAGGCTGGAGAGAGGTCACTGATGGAGGAACTACAAAGCCTCGTCCTCAGGCCAGTAAGACCCAGCTGTCACTGAGCCAGTGCTCCCTGGCGTCTGCCGCGGGCCTGACAGTGAACTCTGGAAGGGAGCAGAGGACAAGGAGGCTCAGAGCTTCCTTCGTCTGTTAGGGGCCAGGCGCCCCCTCTCCCAGGGACTCCATCTGCTCGGAACGCCCAGCCCCACAATCTCCGTCCTGTCATATTGATCATAAAGTACCACGGTGCTCACTTTCTTGATGACGGACCTCCTGGGAGCCACCATGAGGACGCCAGGCCGCACGAGCCCCGTGAGAGGGACCCATCCGGGCCTGGGGGGAAGGGATACCTTGGGCCTCCATTCAATTTGTACTCAGACCAATTTCTGGGCAAATTGCCTGTTAAAGATTTAGGTGGGAGAAAACCTGGGATCCGGTCACTTGCTTTGTTGCCAGATTTCTTCCAAGCACCTCCCAGGTCGTAGGCCACTGGCTGTAAGTGAAGGGTTACTATATAAATGATCGAATCCAGAGACTGGCATTGCACCCCAGCGGGCTCGTGGTGCCAAGCTCAGTGCTATTGTACCTGTGGATGAGGAAGTTAGCCAAGAGCTCACAGATGCAGCCCTGAGCCAACACTCAACCAACAGCGCCAGGAAAGAGAAAGGGAAAATGAGCAGCTTTCTCAGCTGCCCCCCACGTCCTCCGACAGGGCATCGGCACACTTTGCAGGGAGCCAAGGCATGGGTCGCAGGGAGTCCAGGTCACGGCGCATGTACCAGGGCCTGAAGCAGCCTTTAGCTGAGATCATGTTGCTGGGAAAACAACAGTAGCGGGGATGGCAAACAGCCTTATTTTGCCTGGCTGGCCCTCCCGTCACTCAGAGGTCCTGCTTAGCGGCCATGAGGACGCGTGACTGGACCATGCTGGACCAGCCACCTTCCATCTCAGGGGAACCCTGGATTAAGGACATCCAACTGGGGCCAGCTTGTGCGGGACACTGGGATGAACGTGCTGAGAGGGACTGTCTCTTACGATCCCTGCTGGAGACACACGGAGTCCACAGGAGAGAACGTCTCAGACCACAGCACGCTGAGGCTGCCGGGAGAACAGGGGGATCCCTCACCACGTATAGAGAGGACCAAAGAGGCTGTAGGAGAGAAATGAGGTCTTACCCAGCGAGACCAGGAGCCCGCAGGTGGCCAGCATCATTTCCTGGTACAGGGTCCTCTGGGCCAGGTCCAGCCGCCCCCATTCCTCCCCAGTGAAGGTCACTGCCACATCTTCAGATGATACCAACGGCTAGAAAGCCATGCAGAGGTGGCAGCGTAGACATCAGAGGACACTAGAACCAGCCGCTGGATTACTGGCAAAGCCCCAAAAGCCCCAAGGCCTGAACACTGAGCATCTCCTGAGAACCCCACCCTGCGCTCCATCCAGTGGTGTGGGAGGGAAAGGCCTCCCCTGTGGGAGCCAGCAGAGACAGTGACCATCCTGTGTGGACGGTAACGGGTGGATGGCGAGTGCCCGGTGAGGGAAAAGCAGGAATCCCGACACGGTCACAGCGGCAGCGGCACAGCCTCGCCATACCGTCTGCCTGTGCCAGGGCTTCCCACGCAGTGTGTAAGCAGCTACGAGTCTGCAGGCCTGGAAACAGCCCACACAGGCCTGATGTGAGCTTCTATCTCGGCATCCACACGATGATAGCTCCTACTTCCCCAGGTGGCTGTGTGCATCAAGGAGAGAAGAAATGTCCATAAAGCAAACACCACAATGTCCAACACCTGCCACAAGGCGTCTGCGAATGTTAGCAGTCTTCCCACAGCCATGAGGGAGCGCCACCGTCACTGCCACTCACCAATCAGCAAACAGACTCAGAGTCAAGTCAGCCAGAAACACGCGCTTAACGAGAAGAGGCAGGATTTGAACCCAGATCCCTCCGGCCTGGGGTGTCATCACCGTGAATCCACAGTGACACGGGCAAGGAACCTTTCCAGGGACCTTCCCAGTTAAGACAATTTCAGCCACTCTGGAAACCGCTTCCAGGGCCATGCAAGAGCCAGGAGGAGGTGCCAGCCGCCTGGCGCCCCGCAGGGCTCCAACAAGCTCTCCATGCCCGCAACTGGCAGCTGGGAGACTGTGGGCTCCGGGGAATATCTCAACACGAGCTACCAGCCCAGCCTTTGTCTTTTAGCCACTGTCAAGGCTTCCCTAAGGGATCGCTGTGCAAGCTCTCCACGACTCGGGTGCCCAAGGATGGTGCAGGCCGTGGCTCCAGGAAAGCCAGGATGTCTGTCCTGGCAGGGAGGCGACGGTGGGCTGTGATGACAGCAAACGTGCTGGAACATTCTGGAACATTCTGGTACTCAAGGTCTGTTTATATCCCCAGAGGCACAACATTCCAGGACACTATCAGTAATGAGCATCGTAGGGGAATCACTTTTTAAATACAAGTAACTGTTAAACAGGAAAATGGACTCACTACTGTTAAGTTGCAAGCCAAGACATCTGTAATAAACAGGTGGCGTCTGCGAAGGTAAATGCAATCACTATCCCGTCTTCCGGGGACGCAAAGGACTTTCTACTCTTATTCTTTTTTTTTTTTTTCCACAGGCAGAGTGGACAGTGAGAGAGAGAGAGAGACAGAGAGAAAGGTCTTCCTTTGCCGTTGGTTCACCTTCCAATGGCCGGCGCGGCCGGCGCGCTGCGGCCAGTGCACCGCGCTGACCCGAAGGCAGGCGCCAGGTACTTCTCCTGGTCTCCCATGGGGTGCAGGGCCGTCCTCCACTGCGCTCCCTGGCCACAGCAGAGAGCTGGCCTGGAAGCGGGGGTAACCGGGACAGAATCCGGCGCCCCGACTGGGACTAGAACCCGGTGTGCCGGCACCACAAGGTGGAGGATTAGCCTAGTGAGCCGCGGCGCCAGCTCTACTCTTATTGGAAAAGCAGCACTTCCGGAGCCGCGCTGTGGTAGCCTGTAAGCACCCCGCCCTCCCTGCAGCGCCGGCATCCCATATGGGCGCCGGTTCACATCCTGGTTGCTCCACTTCCCAGCCAGCTCCCTGCTAATGGCTTGGGAGAAGCATCAGAGGATGGCCCAAGTGTCTGGGTCCTTGTTACCCACGTGGGAGACGCAGGTGTACTTAAAGGGCAGAGAGAAAGACCCTAGTTCACTTCCCCAACGCCCACGACAGCCAGGCAGGAGCCTCAATCCCCCGTGGGTGGCAGGCACCGGAGCCCTCGGCTGCCGCCTCGCAGGGCGCGCGTTCGCATGAGGCTGGAACCTGCGTAGAAGCCGGGCCTCCCCTCTGCCGCCCCGACCGCCTGCCCTAATATCACTATGGTAGATCCCAGGGATCGGAAGCCGGGGGCAGAGCTTCAGGCTTCAGGACAGAGCCAGAGATGGGTAACTCTTCTTAAAACCCCCGACCAGGGTTCGGGATCCGGAATTGGAAACGACTCAGCTCCCCTGCGGACCCCCAGACCCAAGGGCATTAAAAGGCAAAGGGGAAGAGTCCCAGGACCACTACGTCACGGCAGGTGGGACCCTGCGAGCAGAGCACCGAGCGCGGCTCTGCGCCACCTCCACTCTCCGCGCCGGCGCCGCCACGGGACTCAGTGGCCGGAGCCAGGCCGGCGTGGCGGTTACTGAAGCTGGCCCGTCTCTGCCAGCGCCTCGCCCCAGCCGCGGGCGGAACCGGACCTCTGTCTCCGCGGGGCGAATAAGGGCGCACAAGGGCCAAGGCATCAACCCGGGCGTTGTGAGTGCCAAGTGCCAGCGGACAGCCCTCGGGGGCGGGCACGGCTCGCACACCCGCGCGTAAGCCGCTTTTCCTCTGCTCAGTCTCGGAAGGTGTGAGACGCCACCTCAGCTATGCGTCCAGCCCGCGTTGGGCTGTTAAGGACCAATCAGCCGGGAACGAGAGACGCTCTGAGGCGCAGCGCAAGAAGCCCCGCCCACTCTGCTACGGGAAACGCCCTTCTCCGTCGTCCGTCATTGGCCAGCGCCCGCGACGCACAAAGCAATGCCTTCTGGGTAATGTAGTTTCTGGCCTCAAGCCCGGTGGCACTGGGAGCGGACTTCCTGGTCTCTAAATAGCTTCTAAGGTCTCAAACAGGGCTTGGCTTCGCTTCCTCTTAAAGGAGACGCTCACAGATTTCCGTGGCTACTTGTGGCAATGACCCACCCTCAAAGACAGACCTTTAACAGGTAAGCGGTGCCTTGCTGTTCCTTCCTGTGTAGACTTGCACCAGCACTTTCTCACTCCGAGGCTTGAGATGGAGATTTATAAGAAAAATGAAGGTAGTCCTTTAACTCTAGATGGTCCCACATGCAGTAGCCTTCAGACACATCAACATTACCTGGGAATTTGATGCAAGTTCTCAGACCCCACCTCGAATCAGGGCCCAGCTCTGTGTTTGATGCTGGACCACCTTTGAGAACCGTGAGTAAATGAGATAACACTGGCTTCTTCGTTCAAGTGTTCTAGGGAGGTGTTTCCCGGTTTTTATATAACAAGTTCTTGTCTCTTCAGAGATAAGAATTCAAAACAGCGCCATAAACATAGTTCCAGAATGAGAGAGAGAGAGAGAGAGAGAGAGAATACATTCATGGTGAGGGCAGTGAGTGCAGGAGGAGAAATGCTCCTTTATGGGGCGGGGGTGGGGGGTGGTCCTGTAATGGGTGGCGTTGGGTGGGGTTTAGTGTGTATGAGGTTTTCTGGGAGACTCATGGCACCTGCTTGTATACATCGTGGCATCTCCTTCTTCCTGGTCCCGAGTGAAACACAGGTGTGTCATGGGAAAGTGTGTGAACTGGAGTGACAGGTGGGGGTGGGCTTACAGTCTAGGGCTGTGCAGAAAAACCTGGGGCCTGCGCTGTGGCACAGTCGGTTAATGCCGTGGCCTGCTCCTCTTCCAATCCAGCTCTCTGCTATGGCCTGGGAAAGCAGTAGAAGATGGCCCAAGTCCTTGGACCCCTGCACTCACATGGGAGACCCAGAGAAGCTCCTGGCTTCTGGCTTCGGATCGGCGCAGCTCTGGCCATGACGGTCATCTGGGGAGTGAACCAGTGGATGGAAGACCTCTCTCTCTCTCTACCTCTTTCTGTGACTCTTTCAAATAAAATATTAAAAAAAAAAAAAAGCCTGCAGCTCATCTATTCCTATCTCATCTTCCTGCCAAGTCCCCCGTATCAGGAGGTAACTAAAACGTGCTTAGTGCTGGGCCTGGGACAGAATGCTGAGTAGACAGAATCCGTTGCTGTCATTGTTATTTTATATTAGTGCTACTGAAGACGTAATGGCAAGGATCTCAGATACGCTGTGGGAAGTAAGCCCGAGATACTCCGTTGAGCCGTTGGTAATATCTGCCTAAACACAAGCTACGTGGACCCTCTGATTCAACAAGGGGGCTCCTGAGTATGTTGACAATTTTTATGTAAAAATACTTTTTTAATACCACTTGGCTCACATAAGTTTTTATTTTAACAGTGAATGCAAGGGGGTTTCATGATCTGTGGGTACAGACACTGCCCAGAGTGCTATGGGGCCCAGGCAGGGAGTTAGGGGAAAATGAACTGGAAGATTCCCCACAACTCTTGTCTCTAGGCCTGCAGTCAGCCCCGCAGCCACTTTCCCGTGAGGCACCTGTGTCTCCGCCAGGAAGGAGGAGATGCCCTGCGTACCTCTGTGAGCTGAACTCCACGTGGAGGCCCATGGGAGCACCCAGAAAACCCCAGGACACTGAGCCACGCCCAGACTCCCGCTCACTGGTATATTCAGTCAGGGCACCGCCCCCTGCCCCATCCGGGCGCCCACTGGGCTGGGGAGCACCTCTCCCCTTGCCTTCTCCCACACTCTGGCTGGTGCAGCTCTGTGCCTGTCAGGCGAGCCTTTCTCCCTGTGGGGTTACCTGAGTGTGTTCTCACCCCCTCAGTTTCAGTAAGTCCTCTGCTCTCATGTACACTACTGATGCCTCTGCTTGGAATTCCTGTTTCCCATGGGGAAAAGGGCTCAGAATGAAAACCGGGAAACACGTTCCCACAACACAGAACCACTTGCTCACAGACCACAGGATCCAAAACTTAGGCTCCCCAGGCCTGCCAACGTGCAGCCCTAGGTGGAGGGTGGAGTTGGCCTGGTTTCTAGTTGGTGACGGAGCATCGGACAGGTCATCATTCGTCTCTAATTTACAGTGCGGGAGCCCTGCCCTTCTGCTGCTCCTCCAGCCCACAGGGCAGCCCGGGCCCGACACAGAAGGCTCCCATGTAAACCACGGCCCACAGAGGCGAGCACAGTGGAAAGTGAAAACACTAAGTGCAAACAGGCAGGCGAGGGGCCCGCACGTGCTCAGACCACAGACGCCTGGGAAGAAACAGCAGAGCGAAGCACAGCACAGCGACTAGGAGGAGCGTCTCGCAGGAGCAAATCCAGTAATCCAGGCTGAGAGCTGATGATGTGAGTGCCTACAATTCCTGGCATGGCCAGACTCCAGGCACATCAGCCAAAACAAACAAACAAATACAATCAGACAAATAAAAAGGCACAGAGCCTGAGTCACAGACCCGCGTGGAACTGGACAAGCATCCAGACTGGGAGCCACTGGGCTGCCCCCTGGACCCCTGGCTTCCAGGCACTTCCCCGCAGGCCTCAGCGGGCAGCTGTTGGGGATGCTCAGGCAGGCACTGTCCAGAGTAGTGCCCATAACGCAGCCCTGGTGACCACAGCACACGTGTCCGCAACGTGGGGAAGGAAGACGCTGCCATGCTTCAGCCGGGAGAAGGCCAGAGCTGCCTCTGGGGGACAGGAGGCGGTAGGGACGGGCCGAGGTCCCTGGCGTAGCTGTGGAGGTCTTTCCCAGCAGGGCTGTGTGAGGTCCGGCATCACACCGCCATACAGCAGTCTCTCAGCCTCATCCAGCAGCCGCCATGGAAAACCAATGGCCACCTCTCCCCAAAGGCCACCCAACAGCTCACGTGACGATAGACAGGTGGGCAGAGAGACACCAAGGAAGCTCTGGGCCTGGTATGTGGGGTATTTCAGAATATATAGGGAGTTGTTTTCATCAGATACAGTAACATGACAGACGTGGAGATAAGCATATTTGAAAGGAGAGTTTATGGCCCCCCCTCCCGGCTCCCTGCTGGCCTGCAGGGCAGCCACGTCCAGGTACAAATGCTTGACCATGGGATGGCACGGTCTAACGTTCGGTGACTCAGAGTCACCACGTACCAGCCTCATTAAGATTCAGTCGACCCATTACCTGAACTTGCAGTCCTCCAATGAGCACCAAATCAAGTACGGGGGAACTGGGTGCCAGGAAGAGAAAATGGGGTGATGGCTGAGCCCTGGCCAGCTCCCAGCAGAGCTCATCGATCTGGTCCCCAGCTAGTCATCATATTATTTTTTCTACATGTATTTTCACCTTTCCTTGTCTGTGACAACTCTAAATTCCATATAGTCATTGCTCCTATCTAAATGTTACAATTTCAGTTCCTTTCCTAGCCAAGATCTCAAGGTAATGGACAATACTACATCTGTCACTACGCACTATAATACAGAATTATGAATGATGGACCCAGTGAAAAGGATTCATCCAAAGGGCCAGCACTGTGGCATAGCGGGTAAAGCTGCTGCATGCAGAGCCAGCATCCCATATGGGCACCAGTTCGAGTCCCGGCTGCTTCACTTCTGATCCGGCTCTCTGTTATGGCATGGGAAATCAGTAGATGGCCCAAGTCCTTGGGCCCCTGCACCCGTGTGGGAGACCCGGAAGAAGCTCCTGGCTCCGGATTGGCTCAGCTCAGGCCGTTGTGGCCATCTGGGGAGTGAGCCAGCAGATAGAAGACCTTTCTCTCTCTCTGCTTCTATAACTCTACTTTTCAAATAATAAATAAATCTTTTAAAAAACAAAAGGATTCTTTCAAACTGCTAAAGAAATAACCTTTAATCCAAATTTCTATACATGGAAAAAGTGATTTTGAAGAAAGAACATGAAATAAAAACTACACGAGAAGTTTAATGGAAAATTAACCTGAATAAAATCAAGTTCTTACAGGAGGATGAGAGCAAGTGACCGCAGGTGCGACCTGTGAGGACGGCTGTGGAGCTCCGAGGGAGGTGCACCTGTGGATTAAAGAGAACACTCGTGGTCTCCGTAAAGCATGGCTGATGCTGCCTTGGGGCGGTGGGAGGGTGGAATTACCACATATGGCCTGAGCAACACACACATGTAGAAGACAAACAGCTGAAGGTTTTGAGTCTCTTAATATCACCCAAGAAGAAGATAAAATATTTAAACCTTGGCTCTAGCATGTTAAATTAGTGCTTGTGATTTTTAGCTTAGGTAATACTAAGTAGAGTTGGAATATCCACTTTCAAACTAGAAGAGAGACAATTTGCACTGGAAATAATCCACCAAGAACAGTGAAGCAGAGATCCACCAGATGAAAGGCTGTGCTTCAAGGCTCTACAGCAGGCACCGCTGCTATTATGTGCACAGGAGAGGAATGCTCCCGTCAGCACGCGGTGGGCTTTACCGGCCCTACGGCTCTTTTATGAGGCCTTCCATTTCCATCAGGGGATTTGATTTCCATTCAAAGCACAATTAATTCCATGGCTTCCTCAGCCACCCTCTATTCCCAGAGCGATAAAGGAACCAGGAGGTGGGCAGAGTGTGCTGGGTTTGGCCAGTGGGTACCAAGATGTCATGTCGAAGGCCACTGGGGTGGTGGCCAAGGTCCTTGAGGCCTACAAGCAGCTGACGCGTCGCCAGGAGGCCACAGTGACGGACCCCCAGGCCAGCAGCATCTTCTGTTGCAGGAAATGGTGGAGTGGAAAAGACAGCACAGCCGGGGAAGCTGTTGAGTGAGGACAGTGAGTGACAGCTGCCATTTGCTAAGCACTTCCCGCAGCGAGCATGCGCACAGACCCTGCGTCCTTTAGCGGGCACGGCGGCCCACTGAGCTGTGTTGGCTTGGCTTACAGAGCAGGAGCCAAGGCCCAGAGGTTTCCAGGCTGCCTTCAGCAATGGTTGGCAAGTAGCTGGGAACGGAGCTCCCTGAAGTTTCACTTCTGTTTTTTCAAACATTTATTTATTCACAGAGACAGGGAGAGACAGAGGGAGAAGTGTTCATTCACTGGTTCACTCCCCAGATGGCTGCAATGGCCAGTGCTGAAGCCAGGGTCCAGGAGCTTCATCTAGGCCTCTCACCTGTGTGGCAGGGACCCAAACGCTTGGGGCATCCTCCACTGCTTTCCCCAGACCATTAGCAGGGAGCTGGATAGGCAGTGGGGCAGCCGGGACGTGAACTGGTGACTGTGTGGGATGCTGGTGTTGTAGGTGGTGGCTTCATGGGCTGCACCACAATGCTGGTCCCTATCATCCCTCAAGGTCTCTTTCCTGGTACGATCTAATCTGGGCAGGGACAAGCTCCCTCTTGTCAGAGAACTAGACCATGGCAAAACGGAACTGCTCAGGTGACTGTCATGGGGCGAGGGACGAACTCTGACTTTTCTTTGCTTCAGAAATGGTGGCCTCTGGCGTCACTCAGGCCTCACCATGTTACTGGGTGCTGACACAGAAACGTCAACATGAAGACAGGGCTGTGGCCGGTGCCACGGCTCAATGGGCTAATCCTCCGCCTGCGGCGCCGGTACCCCGGGGTTCTAGTCCCGGTCTGGGCGCTGGATTCTGTCCCGGTTGCTCCTCTTCCAGGCCAGCTCTCTGCTGTGGCCAGGGAGTGCAGTGGAGGATGGCCCAAGTGCTTGGGCCCTGCACCCACAAGGGAGACCAGGGGGAAGCATCTGGCTCCTGGCTTCGGATCAGCGTGGTATGCCAGCCGCAGCGGCCATTGGAGGGTGAACCAACGGTGAGGGAGGACCTTTCTCTCTGTCTCTCTCTCTCACTGTCCACTCTGCCTGTGAAAAAAAAAAAAAAGACAGGGCGTGTCCTGAAGAATCACGGCTACAGTGGGCTGTCTTTTAGACTGCCTGGGAAAAGCCGTTCGCGCCATTACCCAGGTATCGACATAGTCTGTTGACTCTGCCTCCTAAAACAGGGCATGTTGTTGGCCTGCCAATACCCTCACACAGCCTCACAGAGCAGTTAGGATAAAACACAAATTTGTTTTGGTGACCCTCAGAAACCTGCGCGTCAATCTCCATTCCTCTCGTTCACCCCCAGCCACTCTCCCTCTCTAGCCGCAGTGGCCCAGCTCTGCTGGCCTCAGGATCTTGGCACAAGATATTCTTTTCTGCAGGATACTGTGTCCCACCTTTGAACCTGGCCTCACGTCTACATCCTGCAGGGGTGAAGCCTCTTCGTGGTGTCTGCTCCCTTAACTGTGGCTGTCCTATTTCCACAGAGGGGAGTGCTGAGGCCCAGGAAGAAGTGACATGCCCAAGGCCTGGTGACAGGCATGGCTCAGAAAGTGCTAGAACCCCAATCTACACCCAGGGTCCAAGCTCTTAGCAATCAGAGTCCTCTTCTTCCTGCACATCTGCCCCTCAGCTGTGGGTACGGTGCAGGTTTTGAGAAAGGTCTTGGTGTCTAGGGGAGTTGACGCAGGAGGCAGAGCTGACCAGAGCCACAGAGACGTTTACGTGCAGAGATCAGCTGGGAGCCTGCTAGTGTGATGGAGGTAGGAGTTGATGGTAGCACAGACTAGGATGTGAGTGGCAGAGCTGATGGATCTGGGAGACGAGAGTGACATAGAATGGACAGGGCTCCGGGATGGCTGGGTTGATGGTGTGGCTTGGGTTGCGATGTTCAGCTGCTGTCTGAGTTCGTTTCCTGTGTCTCAGCTTCCTCAACACCAGGCAGTGTCACTCACGACAGCTTAGCAAATGGCAGGAGGAGTCGGAAGTGCCTTTGAGACAGTCACATGGAGGCACGAGACTGAGGAGTCGGGGAGCATAGGGAACAGACTCCAAGGGGCTGCGGAGGGGTTGGCCAGAAACGCACTGGCCATGCAGCCTGGGGTCGGCCAGGGAGGGAGGCCTGTACAGGGATGGCTTCCAGGTGCCCTCGGCAGACCAGAGGTGGGACCCACAAGGCCAAGAGACTCCTTGAAGTTTTACAGGACAGCAAGTGCAGGAGGGCATGGAAAAATGATTGCTTCTAGGTGTCTGACAAGAGCAACTATGCATGCCTGTTTATATGGACAGAAAAATGAATGAGGAAGGCAGGGTAGGGTAGCAGAGCACAGCTGGAGAGATGGGCGGGGAAGAAAGGTTCTTTATCATGGCAGCCCAGAAGGAAATGTCCTCTACTGGGAGCAATGTAAATCAATACAGTCATTATGGAAAACAGTACGGATATTTCCTGTACACCTACACATGGAATTCACCATGTAACCCAGCAACCCTGCTTCTGGGTATATATCCAAAGGAATTGAAATAAGTATGTGAAGCTATATTTTCACTCCCATGTTCATTGCAGGCCTATAGCTAAGATATGGAAGTAACCCAAGTGTCCATCAACCGATGCATGGTGTGGTATATATTCACAATGGAATAATACTAAGCCTTGGGAAACGAAGGAAATCCTGTTTTGACAACAGGGATGAACCTGGAGGACACTATGCTAACTCAATAATGCAGGCACAGGAAGACAAAATTCCACTTACACGTGGAATCTAAACAATTCAAACTCTCAAAATCAGGCAGTAGAATGGTGGTTACCAGGGACAGTAGGGGTGGCAAAAGGATGGGAGAGGGGAGATGTTGATCAAGGGTACAAAATTTCAGTCTGACAAGAGGAGTTAGCGTTAGTGATCTATTGTGGAGAATGTGACTACAATACATATTCATGCATTATATATTTCAAAATTGCTAAAAGAGCATATTTTGAATATTTCCAGGTGATGCATTTGTTAATGAGTTTGATTCAATCATTTCACGATGTATGTATGTATCAACACATCGCATTTGTGCCCCACAAGCACATATGATTATTATCTGTCAATTTAAAATGAAATAAAAATTAAAAGAAATTAGAGGGGAAAATGAATGTGCATTATCGCATGAATCACTGTGATGAACGTTCCTGTGTGCACAACAGAACACAAGCTGACTCTGCCGCAGGCACTATCCTCCGTCGTTCCTATGTCCCCAAACAACACAGTGAGCTTGAAAACCATCACTCTCACTTTCTAAACGTGGGCTGAGTGTAGAAGACGGGGCAGGTCTTGCCAGAGCCATTTGTTTTTCCCTTTGGGCACACAGCTAGACCATTTCCTGGCTCTGAGGATCCAGGCGTGGCCGATGCCCAGTTTTGTCAATGGAGGGGCAATGGTAACACCGGAGTGCAAGGAGGCATGAATTTTTCCTTCCTCGCTCATCTTCCCTCTACCGGACTAGATGATGCCAGGGAATCCTTGAATGAAGCCAGAGGCTGACAACAGAAGGAACGCTGCTCCCCGAACCGAATAACTGTGTGGTATGGAGCTTCTGGTTCGCCTACATGTATCTTGCAATGAATGAGGAAACGAAAAACAAACGAAAGTTTTCCCTCTGCTGAGCTGCTGAGATCACAGAATTTCTCCGTTACAGCAACCAACATTGTTAGCCAAGTTCTACACTCGGTGAGATGAGGCAGCACCTTCAGGCTCGCAAGGCTAGATGGGTAAAGCCAAGGTTTAAGCCCAAGGCATGGAGCCTACAGCCTTACTTTCACCTAATAGAATAAACTCCCCCAGTAGTGGGGGGGGGGGAGTCTAATAGGGATAAAACAGTAGGTCAGCGGGCTGCACAGCCTCTCAAGCCCTCAGGAGGTCACAACAAGAAGCTTCCCTCTTCCCAGACAAGAGGTCCCCGACTGGTCTGCAGGGTGCGGGACTCCTTCCCCTGCCTGGCATTCAGCCACCCACCTGGGCAGGAACTTCAGGAGGGGCCTCTCTTCACCACACAGAGATCCTGCTCATTCTCCGGCGTGTGCATCTGTTCTGGTTTGGGAGCACGATACCCTGATGATGGGGAAACAGAAAACATTTGGGTAAAGGCAAAAAGGAATCTATGTTCAGTACAGTGTCCCAGATAAGAGCAAGATCTTGGAATGACGCTAGTCCCACCCATGCAAAGACAATGCTGACCGATAAGCTAGAAATCAAGAGCAAAGACCCCATCTTCAGGCCAGCGATGACTGTCTTTGGAACACCCATTTGTCTTGCTCTCCATCCTGCAGAATCCATCATGGTTCAGGGGCGACCTCTTTCTCCGTGTGCACAGCCAAGGGGTCCCAGGAGGGCGACATTTCTCTAAATGACCCACGTCAGTGAATCTCAGCCTGTTGGTCCCAGAATCAGCTGGGGATGCCTGGCTTGGACCAAATGGAACGAAGTCCCCGGGGCTGAACCCTGGACATGAGTGGCTCTAACAAAGCTCCAGGCATGCAGGGAGGTGTATACTGACAGGCACCCGGCTTCCTAACTTGTTTTCCCTTTTCTTTGGGAAATGTTGGATGCTCTGCTCTGTGGAGCTGTGAGGTGAGGGGGTGTAGAGTGAGGTACAGGGAAGCTGTATAAAGCAGGGGAACGGCTGCATCACCACTGTCAGGACAGAAGTTAGTCCTGGGGACCCCAGACACGAGGCAGTGCACAGTGTGTGCACCCGTTCATGTAACATTCAGGAAGAGGCCGATCCAAACCATGGGCAGGGGAGCCAGCAGAGCAGTGTCTTCTGGGAAACTGAGTAGGCAACGGCAGAGGGAGCCTGCTGGGACCCAGAATGCTCCAGGGTTCGATGCAGGTGGTGGGTACGCGGGTAGAAGGTACACGGAGCTAGATGCTTAGAACTGCACACTTTACTGGATGTAAGATGCATCTCAAAGAAACGAGTGCATTAAAGTTCTTCATGCCAAAATATGTTGTCTTTGGGAACCGGGTTCCTAGCAGGCCAAGAGCTGAATTCAGAGCCAGTAGCTTGGGGAAAATCTACAGTTCCCGAGGGAAATCGTGAGACTTCAGTTCGTGGAGCAGGAAGCGTGGGCCCTGGGACAGGGCCTGCCGCGTGGCCAGTGCGGAGGGGACGCTCGCTATGGCCGGTACTACACACTGCTTTTCTTTAGGCTCACGCACTCTTTACTTGATTTATTCATAAATAATCTTGTACTGCTTGTAAGTAGGAAAACGCTTTCACAAACAGGACACCCCCAAAATACAACAGTGGCATCAAGATAGTGTGGTCGGCTCCACACGCCTGCGTGGCTGGCCTGGCCTGTGCTAGGAGTGGGTTCTGCAGCAAAGGTGAGGGGGGACTCAACGTCTCATCACCCACCAAGACTTTGTCCTGGCAACAGCCACAAGGCAGGAGAAGGAAAAAGAACAGCTTTCTCGGGGCAGTGCGCCCCCTAAAGTCATCTGGAGCTGCAAAGGAGCGTGGCCAGGCCTTAGGAAGCACGGGGTACAGCACAGCCTTTTAATGAAGATGTGCGGTTTGGAGAGTGGCCAGCTGGCCAGCCTGACTCACGGGCCTTCTGGAGAATGATCCATCACTTAGAGGCCCTGGCTGACTGGACTGTGCAGGGGCCTAAACCAACAACGCTCGGCCAGTTTCCCTCAAGATTCAGAACAAGGAGCTGAGACTGAGGCCAGTGTGCCAGGCATTGGAGTGCAGGCTTGGTTTAATTCTTGATTTCCAGTCCTCACAGTGCCTGGCCGGACACAGGGAGGTCAGCAAAGAGGTGGTAAGATGAAGACACAGCAGGAATTATGGGTAGGAGGACAACTGGGCTCCAAAAGGCCTTCTCCAGGCCCAAGCGAGAGAGAAATGGAGGCAGAGAGAGGTGAGCCCTACCCAGCGACACCAGGTGCCTGCAAGTCTCCATCATCACCTCCTGATACAAGTGCTTCTGGTCCTGGTCCAGCTGCCTCCATTCCTCCCAGGTGAAGGTCATGGCCAACAATTTGAATGTCATCAACACCTGGAAAGTCAAATAGAGAAAGCTACGTTGGCTTTGGGACTGTTGGATGAGACCATAGCCTGCTGTCTGGACACTGGTAAAGGTGCAAAGAGACCCAAGGCCTGGATCACTGAGCACGTCTATGAGCCGAACTCCGGGCTGAGCTTATTTGTGGAGGCGGGTGCTTCCCTTGGGCCTAGTGCACCTGAGCCAAAGAGAAAAACCTTCAGTGGAGGAAGCTATGGGAGAATGATGCAGGTAAGGACAAGACCGTGGTGACTGCAAGGCGCACCCAGTAGGTGCTCCGGCGTGTCGGAGTGGGGAAGTGACAGCAGCAGGGCTGCACCTCACTGGGTTGCTCTGGGTGTTGGCACCCATTGACAGGTTCGCACGCTGTGGTTGATTGTCCGTAAGTCCCAGCTCTGGATCCAAACTCCCAGATTTCAGTCTGGCCTCCGGCAAGCAAGACTTGCCAGGTACACGGTCTTGGGGGAGTTACTTCATTTCTTCCAGCCTCAACTTCCTCACTGATAAAATAATAATTCCCAGTTCACTAGGTATTGTGAGAAAGAGAGAATGTTCCAAAAGCAAACACTGGAGTAGTTGGCTTATGTAAGGGCGCTCTCTCTCTCTCTCTCTCTCTCTCTCTCAGAATTTGTAAGTTTCTCTTTTTATAACTAGACGTTACTTTCTACAGCAGTTTCAGATTTGCAGAAAAAGTTCCGTAGATAATACAGGTTTTCCATATGAATACCCTCTCACACATACAACTGAACCTATTATTAACATCTTAGTATGATGCACTTGTTAACATTAAGGAACCAACATTGATGCATCATTATTATCATTATTTGAAGATTTATTTATTTGAAAGGGAGAGTAAGAGAGGGAGGATGACAAAGAAAGACAAAAATACTTGGGCCCCTGCCACCCACACAGGAGACCCGGATGGAGTTCTGGGCTCTTGGCTTAGGCCTGGTCCAGCCCTGGTGGTTGTGGCCATTTGGGCAGTGAACCAGTAGATGGAAGATCGATCTGTCTCACTCCCTGTAACTCTGCCTTTCAAATAAATAAATAAACACACTCTTATAATTTTTTGCACCAATATAAACTTAAGATTTTAATTCCATTTTCCCTGAGCTTTGGAAGTCCCTTGCATGAAATGGAGTATTATTCAATCTTATCAAAGGGGAGGTCCTGCCATATGACAGTGTGGCCCCCGAGAACACTACACTCAGTGAGCTAGGCCAGACACCACTTACATGTGTGGAATCCTAAAAACAACAAGAGTTGATAGCGAGATAGGGAGATGTAAAACAACAGCTCCCAGGGAAGGGGTGGAGGGGAGGGAGAGGAGAGGAGGTGTAGGCTCTGCTTGCTTTTGGTGACCTGCACAGTCTTGAAGAGCACTGGTCAGAGCAGCCTACTGTATCGCAGGACACCCCTCTACTGGAGCTTGTTCGTTGATTTCGTGTTTTCTCCGGGAGCTGTGGATTTTCAGGGAGGAAGATCAGAGAGGTAGAGTGCCATCATGGCACTCTAAGGAGACACAGCATCAGCAAGACAGAGGTAGTGTTCGCTGGGTTTCTCCACTTGGGCCATCCTCCACTGCCTTCCTGGGCCACAGCAGAGAGCTGGCCTGGAAGAGGAGCAACCGGGACAGAATCCGGCGCCCTGACTGGGACTAGAACCCGGTGTGCCGGCACCGCAGGTGGAGGATTAGCCTAATGAGCCACGGCGCTGGCCTCTCTCTCCCTCTCCTTCCTCCCAATACATATTATTACACAGAGAGAGGAGAGGCAGAGAGAGAGGTCTTCCATCTGCTGGTTCACTCCCCCGGTGGCTGCAACAGCCGGATCTCGGCTGATCAGAAGCCAGGAGCCAGGAGCTTCTTCCTGGTCTCCCATGTGGGTGAGGGGACCAAGGACTTGGGCCATCAACTACTGCTTTCCCAGACCATAGAAGAGAGCTGGATTGGAAGTGGAGCATCGAGGACTAGAACCAGCGCCCATATGGGATGCTGGCGCTTCAGGACAGAGTGTTAACCTGCTGTGCCACTGTGCCACAACGCTGGCCCCAAGTACTGATTTTTTCAAGAAGTCTTTGACTACCCCTTTTATGCACAGATTTCCATTTTGTTTACAACAAAATAAACTGATTTTTTTAAAAAAGACTTATTTTGGCCGGTGCCACAGCTCACTAGGCTAATCCTCCACCTGCGGTGCTGGTACACCAGGTTCTAGTCCCAGTTGGGGCACCAGTTCTGTCCCAGTTGTTCCTATTCCAGTCCAGCTCTCTGCTGTCGCCTGGGAAGGCAGTGGAGGATGGCCCAAGTGCTTGGGCCCTGCACCCGCATGGGAGACCAGGAGGAAGCACCTGGTTCCTGGCTTCGGATTGGCACAGCGCGCTGGCCGTAGCGGCCATTTCGGGGGTGAACCAACGGAAGGAAGACCTTTCTCTCTGTCTCTCTCACTAACTCTGCCTGTCAAAAAAAAAAAAAGACTTATTTTATTTATTCGAAAGGCAGGAGAGAGAGAGAGAGAGAGAGAGAGAGAGAATGAATCTTCTATCTGCTGGTTCACTCCCCAAATGGCCACAATGGCTGGGGCCAGGCCAGGCCAAAGCCAGAAACCAGGAACCAGGAACTTCCTCTTGGATCTCCCATGTGGGTGCAGGGGCCCAAGGACTTGGGCCATTTTCTGTTGCTTTCCCAGGTGCATTGGCAGGGAGCTGGATTGGTAGTGGAGCACCCAGTTTTGAATCAGTGCCCATATGGGATGCTGGTGTTGTAGACGTTGGCTTAATCTGCTATACCACAATGCTGAACCCAAAATAAGCTAATCTTTTAATTCCATTTTCCAATGAACTTTTTTTTTAAGATTTATTTATTTATTTATTTACTTGAGAAGCAGAATTAGAGAGAGGCAGAGGCAGAGAGAGGAAGAGAGAGGTCTTCCATCTGCTGGTTCACTCCCCAGATGGCTGCAACAGCCAGAGCTGTGCTGATCCAAAGCCAGGAGCCAGGACCTTCTTCTGGGACTCCCATGGGGGTGCAGAGGCCCAAGGACTTGAGCCATCTTCTACTGCTTTCCCAGGCCACAGCAGAGAGCTGGTTTGGAAGTGGAGCAGCCAGGACTTGAACTGGCGCCCATATGGGATGCCGGTGCTGCAGGCTGGGGCTTTACCCCACTGTGCCACAGCAACAGCCCTGAACACTTTTTAAAGTCAGTCAGTCTGTCTATCTATCTATCTATCTATCTCTATATATCTATATATAAAACATCTGTGTCTATCTAAAATTAAACATGAGTTCTTACTAATCCATTCCCACAGGCTCATTCTGGAATCCTCCCCTTGCCTAACTATAAACTCTTCTTCCAACAGGGAAATCCTGGTCCCCACCATGCACCATCCGTTTACTTACTAGTCCAATCCCAGTATACATGTACAGAAGTGTCAGAACTGTTAACCTGCACATCTTTATTAACTGCAGTGCAGGGCGTATTCGTAGTTCATTTTGTAATTAGTCTTATAGCCTCATTTCCAATTAAGAAAAAGGAAGGTAAAATTATATTTTATCTTTCCTCATTCTTCTCTAGCACTCTTCCTTACTGAATTTCTGATTAAATAATTTTCCTATTCTCAGGAGAACTTCTTTTAAACATTTCTTGCAAGATTTGGTTGTCTAAGAAAGTCCTTACCAGGGCTGGTGCTATGGTTCAGCGGGTTAAAGCCCTGGCCTGCAGTGCGGGCATCCCATTGGGTGTGGTTAGAGTCCTGTCTGCTCTGCTTCCGACCCAGCTCTCTGCTAATGCACCTGGGCAAGCAGTGGAAGATGGCCCAAGTCCTTGGGCCCCTGCATCCATGTGGGAGAGCTGGAAGAAACTCCTGGCTCCTGGCTCTGGATCGGCTCAGCTCTGGCCATTGCATAAATTTGGGGAGTGAACCAGCAAATGGACCATCTCTCTCTCTATTTAGACCTCTCTCTGTAACTCTGCCTTTCAAATAAATAATTTTTTTTTAAAAAAAAGAAAGTCCTTATTTCTCTTTCACTTTAAAGAATACTTTTACTGGACACAGAATTCTATGTTGAAGGTTTTTTTTTTTTTTCTTTCAATACAGAACATTTCACTCTTTTCATGTTTGGTTTCTGGAGAGAAGTCCAATATAAGTTTTAATGTTCCTTTATAAAGTACTGCCTGCTTTCTCTGGTTTCTTTCAAGATGTTTTCTTTTTCCTAGTTTCCTGCAGATTGAATATTATATGCCTGGGTTCAGAGTTTCTGGCATTTATCTTGTTGGTGTTCTACGTACTTCTTGGATAGGTGGTTGGTGGCTGCAATTAACTTTGGAAAATTCTTGGGGGCCAGCACTGTGGCGTAGCGGGTACAGCCACTGCCTGCAGTGCTGGCATCCCATATGGGCACCAGTTCGAGTCCCGGCACTCCACTTCCAATCCAACTCTCTGTTATGGCCTGGGAAATCAGTAGAAGATGGCCCAAGTCCTTGGGCCCCTGCACCCACGTGGGAGACTGGGAAGATCCTGGCTCCTGGCTTTGGATTGGCACAGCTCGGGCCGTTGCAGCCATCTGGGGAGTGAACCAGCGGATGGAAGACCTTTCTCTCTGTCTCTCCCTCTCACTGTCTGTAACTCTACCTCTCAAATAAATAAATAAAAAATCTTAAAGAAAAAAAAGAAAATTCTTATTCATTTTTACTTTAAATATTTCTTTTGTTCCATTCTGTTTCTTATCCTAGTATTTTTTTAAAATGTATTTGACAGGTAGAGTTGCAGACAGAGAGAGGGAGAGACAGCGAGAGGTCTTCCATCTTCTGGCTCACTCCCCAAATGGCTGCAATGGCTGGAGCTGAGCAGATCGAAGCCAGGAGCCAGGAGCTTCTGTCGCCAGGTCTCTCCTCTGAGTGCAGGGGCCCAAGTACTTGGGCCATCTTCCACTGCTTTCCCAGGCCATAGCAGAGAGCTGGATGGAAGAGGAGCAGCTGGGACTAGAACCGGTGTCCATATGGGGAACTGGCATCCATATGGGATGCCGGGGCTACAGGCGGAGGCTTAGCCCACTATGCCACAGCATCGCTCACCACCACCCCCGCCTTTTTTTTTTTTTTAACTTATTTGAAAGGTAGAGTTACAGACAGAAAGGGAAGGTCAGAGAGAAAGGACTCCTAGTATTATTATGTGCCTTTTATAATTGTCCCACAGTTCTTGGATATTCTCATCCATAGTTTTCATTCTTTATTCCCTTAAAGTTTCCATTTGGGGAGCTTCTACTGACCTACCTCCAAGCTCACTGAGTCTTTCCCCTGCCAAGTTTAGTCTGCTGATGAGCCCATCAAGGCACTGATCTGTTACAACTGTTTCAATTTCTAGCATTTAATTTTCATCCTCTCTCAGCCCATCTCTCCACTTAACCCACCTGTTCTCACATGTTGTCTACTTTTTACAATAGAGTCTCGAACATCTGAATTAGTTGTTTTGACTCCATGTTTTTGGGACATTTGCCCATCTTCCCAGAGCTGTGAGATAAACATCACTGTCTTCTCTGTATCCCAGTCGGTGACCTTAGCTGGTTGTCCCAAGCACTTACAGTCTAATGAGGAGAGGCAGGATTTGAACCTGGCTCTCTGTGGTCTGTGTATGTGTGTAAACTTCATGCTCCTTCATCACCTCAGGAATCATGGATAGGAAGAGTCTCCGATATTACTTGCTCTTAAATTGACTTTATCCGCCCCAAACATAATTCTGTGGATGTGGGCAGAGGGGCGGAGCTCCCACCACGGCCGACACTTCCTGGGGCACTGGGCACCCACCATACACATGACCACCTCCCTCGTCTCATAGGAGAAAATGTTTTTGATTTTTGATGAATTTTAATTTATCTGGGAGGAGAGAGGATGGCAGGGGGTAATCTTCCATCTGCTGGTTCTCTCCCCAAATGCAGCCAGGAGCTGGGAACTCCATTCTGGTCTCCCACATGGAATTCTACTGGACAAACCACCCAGAAACTTCACCAAGAAAACAGGGGCTTGTATTGTGGCACAGCTGGTTAGGCTGCCACTTGTGAAGCCAGCATCTCTTACCAGAGTGACGGTTCGAGTCCTGACTGTTCCACTTCTGATCCAGCTCCCTGCTCGTGTACTTGGGACGGCAGCATCAGATGGCCCATGTACTTGGGCTCCTGCCACCTACTTGGGAGACCTGGATGGGATTCCTGGCTCTTGGCTTTGGCCTGGCCCAGTCCTACCTGTTGTGGTCATTTGGGGAGTGAAGCAACAGATGGAGGACCTCTGTCTGTCTGTCTGTCTCCCTTCCCCATTTCCACCCCCAGTCCTTTCCCTCTGCCTTTTACAATAAAGGAATCTTGGGGCCGGCATTATGGCATAGCAGGTGAGGCCGGTGCTGGTTCATGTCCTGGCTGCTCCACTTCTTATCCTGGCCTGGGAAAAAGCAGAAGATGGCCCAAGTGCCTGGGTGCCTGCTACCCATGTGGGAGACCTGGAAGAAGCTCTTGGCTGCTAGCTTCAGCCTGGCCATCGTGGCCATCTGGAAAGTGAACTAACAGATGGAAGGTGTGTGTATGTGTCTCCCTCTCTCTTTCAAATAAATAAGCAAGTTTTAAAAATCCCCAAATAAACAAATCTTTTAAGCAAACAAGTAAATAAGAATGAAAAGGAGGTTAGGTAGCAGGTTAAGAACCACAAGACGCATGCCTGTTGAAAGCGATTCAGGTACATTTTGGACCTTGATCACAATCAATCTCCCTTAAAGAACAAACACATTTTTTTGAAACAACTGAGAAATCCGAGCTCTGATAATGTATTTTAGATGTTGTAAAGGATTTTTACTTGGGGTGCTGAAGCCCTGATCTTTCGGAAATGCATTAGGGACAGGTTAGGAATTACATAGTGTGATGTGAGGTGCACAGGGAGAGAGATGAACCCAGCCTGGCCATGAGGCAATAAATAATGGAGGGCTGGGGGCCGGCGCAGTGGGTAAAGCTGCCGCCTATAGTGCCAGCATCCCATATAGGCGTGAGTTCGAGTCCCAGCTGCTCCACTGCCAATCCAGCTCTCTGCTGTGGCCTGGGAAATCAGCAGAAGATGGCCCAAGTGCTTGGGCCCTTGCACCATGTGGGAGACTCGGAAGAAGCTCCTGGCTCCGTGGCTTCGGATTGGCGCAGCTCTGGCCACTGCGGCCAATTGGGGAGTGAATCAGTAGATGGAAGGCCTCTCCTTCTCTCTCTGTGTAACTGACTCAAATAAATAAATAAATCTTTAAGAAAAAATAATGGAGGGCTGGGCCCAAATCCTAGGGCTTCATAACATTGTCTTTTCCAGACATTTGAAAATATCTACTGAAAAAGGCAGAATATGTTTTTGCCTCAGTGATTTTATGGTAATTAGGATGATTAAAAAGAAGAAGAGGAAATTTTTTTGCTTCAGGAGTGTGAGCATGTGTCAAAACATCAAATTGTGCACTTCAAGTACATTCATTTTAAGTCCACTATAGCTTAATAAAGACATTAGAAAACCAAAAGTATTAAAACTCAAAAACTTGTTGCTTCCTCATTATTTTGTTACTATCTGTTATTGGGTTTATGTGTGGCTCTCTTATGAGTTTGGTAGACACAGACTATAATGAGGCATTCTGCGAATCTTTCTCAATCCCACTTCCAGTAATATGCTGGCAGCTTGAAAGTCATTACCGAGGGGACCCGCCAGCTGGCAGGACTGAGACCCGGCCTCTGCAGTGGACACTCGTAGTCAGCTGCATCTGGCCAGGCACCTGGGAAGGGCAGAGGTCGCATGCCAGCTCCTGAAAGCTTTCACTGAACTGCAACTTAGGAGGCGTCTTGTCCCTGTGGATGTCCACGTGGGCAGGCTTCCGTTTCAAGCAGAGGTGGGCCTCAGGGGGCTTCCTCCAGTGTCCTCATGCTGGACCAGGGGCCTGCACGGTCCCTGTGTGTCTATGGCGACCCCCTGACCATCTGTGCTCAGTGAGGTTATGGGTCAGCCTGGGCGAAGATGTTCATAAGTCACCGCCCTCACAAAGCCCACCTGGCTGAAGCCTGTTTTGTGTTGGCTCCGGCTCTGCTGCCTCTCTCCACCATGGACTTTCTCCTCTGAGCGAGGGCAGCCTCCGGCTGAAGGCTCTCTTCTATTAGCTGAAGATAAGCTTTCACAGGTTTATTTGTAAAGATTGATTTATTTTATTTGGAAGGCAGAGTTACAGAGAGAGGGTGAGACAGAGAGAGATGGATCTTCCATCTGCTTGTCCACTCCCCGAATGCCAGGTAGAAGCCAGGAACCAGCAGCTTCCCCCAGGTTTCCCACGTGGGTGGCAGCGGCCTAGTACATGGGCCATCTTCTGCTGCTTTCCCAGGCTATTAGCAGGGAGCTGGATCAGAAGTGGAGCAGGCAGGACTAGAACCAGTGCCCATTTGGGATGCTGGCATTGCAGGCGATGGCTTAACCTGCTGTGCCACAATGCCAATCCCAAGAAATCAATCTTTTTAAAAAATGAACCGAAGTGGATCTGGAAATGAAAGCTTGCCTGTATTTTTCTGCACATCACGAAGCCTTTCTCTAGTGTCAGCACTGAACAAGGCAGGTGTTTGAAAATTCTCCACATTCCTTACACTCACAGACCTTTTTCCACCCGACACTCCAGTGTACAGGCCAAAGCTTTGGCAAAAGGATCCCCGACATCTGTCACACTCATAAGGCCTTATTCTCGTGTGAACTTTGATATTAAAGAGGCTGACGCCTTGGCTAAAGAATTTCCCACATTTGCTGCTCTTTCAAGATCTAGTCCCATTGTGAACTCCAGTGTTGAATGCACATGGACTTGTTTCAAGAACTTTCCACAATTCCCTGCATTCCCAAGACCCGTCTCTAATGTGAATTCTCTGTTGTTTAGTAAGGCTGGCATTCTGGCTAAAACAAGTCCACACTGAGTACACGAACAAGGCCTCTCTCCAGTATAAATTCACTGGCAAAGAACAAGTCTTTTCACTTGAAGGCTTTTCCCATTCATTGAATTCCTATGTTCTTTCTCCAGGGTAGACTCTCTGACGCCGGGAAGGTTTATAGTCGAGGTATTTCACAGACTTGAGCATTTGCACACTCTTCTCCAGCGCAGACTCTCCCCGAATAAGTACGCGATAGCGTTAACAGCTCTAGGCTTCCTGCGTTTATTGTACTTCTAACGATTTTTTTTCACTGTGACCGGCTTTCCCACACTAGGTGGCGCTGTGTGGCCTTTCCTGCTCTATGTGACCTGGTGTGGAGGAGGCCTGAACAGACCAGGAAATAGTTGCCCATCTCCCCAGAAGTAAAGGACTTTGTGCACACGGGATCTGCAGCCCTTCATAAACAAGGCCCTATCCGCAGCCCTCCTGAACTATCTGCCTGTACTGGAACCCAGCTGGTGAGGGTTTATACTGAAGGAATCTCCACCATGTCCCAAGTGTGTGCTTTCTGCCTGGACTCTGTCCCCTTGTCCTCAGCGAAGCACAACATGTCCTTCAAGACCAAGACAAACATCTCGTGGGGCTGGGCTTTCTGGGGAGAGGGAGCTGCTCTGGGAATCCTGACCTGTGACACTTCCACAGAAACGCTCTGCTCCGGCGCTCCCTCGTCTTCCGCTCCACACCAGTAACCTGAAAGCAAAGAAATGCAGTGAGGTGCATGTGGACTTGAACGAGAGGGTGCAGCGGCCTCCCAGTGTCCGTCTGTGCACCAGTGAACAGGTCCGTGTGAGCTCGTGGGACTGTTTTCAGGAGGAGGAGGCCTGGGTGAGGTTGAGGAAGCAGCTGCCCTTCGGTGATGGTCTTCCAAGAGTCACAGCTCGGGACAAGCCTCAGCGGGCAGAGCACAGAGGACGGAGCGCAGCACGAAGAGGAGCCGCAGGGTCTATGCTGACCCCCTGTCAGAGGTCTGCAGAACTTGTGTTGACACGTGGGTGGCTGTGTAGAAGACTGTAGGCCCGAGGAAACCCAACTTCCAAACACAGGAGCTCACGTTCAAAGATACCTTATGGATATGTGTGCATCTCATAGCACAGTATGTGTGAGCCCGTGCGGGGGGAAACTGTGAGAGGGAGCAGTGGGCAGATATGGAGGAGATGTGGGACCAAGGGAGCTCAAGATTAGCCCCAGGCCAAAAATCACAAAAATGACAAACTGACAAAGTGTCAAGAGTGGGAAAAGGGGGGACCGGCACTGTGGCATAGTGAGTAAAGCAGCCATCTGCAGTGCCGGCATCCCATCTGGGCACCGGTTCGAGTCCCGGCTGCTCCACTTCCCATCTAGCTCCCTGCTATGGCCTGGGAATGCAGTGGAAGATGGCCCAGGTCCTTGGGCCCCTGTACCCTTGTGGGAGACCTGGAAGAAGCTCCTGGCTTCAGATCGGCCCAGCTCTGGCCATTGCGGCCATCTGGGGAGTGAACCAGTGGATGGAAGATCTCTCTCTCTCTCTGTCTCTCTTTAACTCTTTCAAATAAATTAAAAAAAATCTTAAAACAAATATTACAAAGGGAGTCTCATTGAAGGACACAAAGAGTGACCATGTTGCTGATGGCCATTCTTGACTCAAGCAGACGTGTTTACGCCAGCTCGAGGAAGGGAGTGGAACCTGGGATGGAGGGGTCACCTGGCCAGGGAGAGAAATGTGGCATCCAAAAATCCAACTGCAAGACTCCTGACCCCCTACACTGAAAGGTTTTGGGGCAGCAGCTACTGGGGGTGCTTGGGGAAATGGTAGGACAGTACAATAGCTCTGTCCTAGAAAACAGTGAGCCTACATCTATCACCCTGCTCAAAATAAAGAAAAAGAAAATTGGGGCAGTCCCTAGGGTCCCCATGTGAGGCTGCAGCTGTGTCTGGGGAAGAGAGCAAAGGCAACGCCTCACCCAAGGCACTGGGGCAGACGTGAGGGCCTTACCCAGAGAGGTCATGAGCGCGAGGTTCTCCAGCATCACGTCGCAGTACAGGAGTTTCTGACCTTCATCAAGGAGGTCCCATTCGTCCCACGAGAAGTACACGGCCACATCCTCAAAGGTCATATACTCCGGCTGCAATCGGGACAGGTGACGTCACCAACCGCTTGTCTCGAGAGGCCCACCAAGCCATCTCTCCATAATCCACCGCTTGCCCACACTCCTCCCAAGCTTACAACTCAGGGGGGATATCAGACCCTGGTGCCAGCTGTGACTGCTCCCTCCCACGGCCCCACTGGTCAGCGTATCTGGCCCTCAGCAACAATGAGCAAGTCAGTGGATGGACATGATTTAAGTTCTGGGTCTGCCGGGCAGGGCCCTACTCTTAACCCTACCAGGAAATTACCAGAAAGTCTCCCGAGACGAAGCCTTCCAAGTATAACCAAATTGGACTTCGCCTTCATCTGTGGCAGGGCGCTGGGACATCTGTTCATACTCCCTCTCCATGTGCGTATCGTTCTTTAGACTGTACCTCCCATTGCTACTCTACCCATTGCTACTCTACTTTCCTGCCCACACTACAGGCCTTCCCTGGCCTCTTCCCCAAGCGCTCGTCACCACATGGCATCAGGAGAGTGCTTGGTAGATCCCAGAGGGCTACTGCAGATTTCCAGTGGCTTACACTGCCAGGGGCAGCCCTAGCTCCTGCTATGAACACCTTACTGCCTGGTTCTGTTTCTTGTGTTGATCTCAGCCATCAGAATGATATGCAGACTTCACATCTTGCCCTTGCCTTCCCAGTGGCTCTACCAGATAACTACACTGGCCCTTGGGCAAATCCACCAGCCTGGGTGAAACACTTCCGGGTCACCTAAAAGTCCTGGAGAGTCCACAGAGCTGTAAGAAGCAGCTTCAGTGTAGTCTTTCCTCTAACACTCCTGCGCCCCTGCACTGCCCTCAGCAGCCGTGGCTACCCACCAGGCCACCCGTTCCCTGCTCGGGCCCATTACGGTCAGTCCCCCCCGCCCAGTAGTGTTTATAATGCCCACTCTCCCCAGCCAGATGCCCCAGAGAGAGGGCCCATCCTCAGAGGCCCCATCCTCCCTTCTTGACACGCTAACAGTGCCACCACCGTGACCTGAGGTCACTCTAACCATGACTCCCCCCGCTCCACCTCACTTCACCATCTGGCCACAATGAAGAACACACTAGATCATACTGGATGTGACCCACTTCTGGGAAATGGAATCAGCCACTTGTGCTCCCATGTTCACCAAAGTCCCACCCACAACAGCCAAGATATGACAGCAACCCAGCTGCTTATCAACAGATGAGTGTACAAAGGAAACGGAATGGCATTCAGCCACGTCAGAGAGTGAAATCCTGACGTCTGCCAGGAAATAGATAGAATGGAGAGCATTATGAAACAGGCCAGACACAGAAAGACAACTACTGTACATTGTCTCTTATACGTAGAAGTTGAAAGAACAGTCAATTTGAATTTAGAACAGTGATTACCAGAGATTGGGGAGCATGGGGAGGCTGAGGGAGGTTGGGTAACAGGCACCAAAACTCAGACGGAAGTAACAGATCTTAGTGTTCACAGCACAGTGGGGTGACTACGCACGCTATGTAGATGTGTTGAAATATTCACTGTACCCATAAAAATGTACGAGTATTGCACTGACACATTTTAAAAATAAAACAGTTAAGAAAAAGAGGCCCCTGGCCCAAGGACTTGGACAGTGGCTGAATCCCAAGGTGTGTGGGCAGGGGTTGTGACCAGTGAGAGTCTACTCACCTGCGTAGGGGGCGTATGCACTTCCGTGGCCATAGGAACCTGCAGGAAGAGAAAGGCTATGAGAAGTAGGCAGAGACGGATTCCACGGGCTCCGCCGTCTCCTGTACCCCTGGCCAGACCTGGAAGCAGGTGACCTTGGAGTGACTGCATGACCTCTGCACTCCAGCCCCCAGTGCTGCCTCTTATTCGCTTTGCGACTCTGGACAAGGACTCAGTGGCCCCGGGGTGTTGATCTGCTCTCTCCTCTTGCAGCCCGTGTCCCTCAGCCCGTGTCCCTCCTTTGTTCACAACCCCACACCATCAGGACGTACACGGCCTTGTTCTGCCATTCCAGGCGTCATTTCTCTTCACACCCTGACCCATGAGGACACACGTGGACCCAGGCTTTCAGGAATGCTCCCAGATTGGGGGCTCCTCCAGCCTTTGCACATGCTAATCTTTCCAGTCGTAATGCCCTTCCGTGCCTCATTACACTGGCTTTCATAAATGGGGGCAAAATCTACATGCACCCCGACTCCCGTGCTAGACACTAGGGCCTAGCCTGCAGGGCCCTGAACTCCCATAACTTAGGGCTTTAGGATTTGAAAACAAGATTGTTTTGTGTGTGTGAGGGGCCAGGGTGGGGGCCCAAAGGTCGCAACACCGTCGGCGAAGGCACCGTGATCTGAGCCGCGAACCACAACCCACAGCACCTCCACCTCCATCCCAGCCCCAACGCTGGGTCGCCATGAGCCTCAGAGCCTCAAATCCACCTCTGCAAAGGACTGACGATGGCGCCTCTTGATCCGTCCACTTCCTGTTGCCTCTGACCTGGCTTTGCGCTCTAGAACCAGCCCGCAAACGGCCAGCACGACGGCCTCGCCGGAAGTCCTGCCCCCTCTCTTTCGCTCCGAACGCTAATCGCCCGTCTCCTGCGCTTTCATTGGATGAGCGCTGCTGACGCGGCGCAGAGCACTCTGGGTAAGGGCGCCGCAGTGCTCGCAGTTCCACACCGAGTCAAAGATGGTGGACAGTGCGTCCCCAGGCTCGGAGAGATGGATGGACGGAGTCAGGATTCAGTCACCAGAGTGGAGAGGCTGGTGGTTCAGGCTGTCGGTGCTCTGAGCAGCTGACGTAGGGTTTCCTGTCCTCCAAGGCTACAACTCCAAAAGGAACGGTGGTTTTATGGTGTCGGAGCCAGCGCGCGTCCCTTCGCGGCTGGGAATAAAACATTGGCTTACTGCTCTTCGAATGGGTGGAGCCTACAGAGCTTGGTTTCCTAAATCTCAGAATGTCGAGCCGCAAAGCCTCCAGGCGGGGGAAGAGGGGTGTTGGGCGGCCTGGGTGGTGCTCTGCCTCGGATTCCCACAGGAAACACGGAAGTCGGTCGTTGTGTCCAACCCAGAGAGCAATGTTGTATCCATACTGTGCTTCTTACCCTGTCTCTTGAGATGTATTCAGTTCCTTCTGGAAGTGCGATCCCCACCTCAGCTGAGAGCGACTGGCGCTGTGCTGTCCTGGGGCGGAGCGGGGGCTGCAGGGTCACAGCTGCCCGGGCACCTGGCGCCGGCCCCGACCGCAGCTTCCTGCTAGGCATGCCCTGGGAAGCAGTGACCACGGCTCGCAGAACTGGGTCCGTGCCACCGATGGGACTGAGTTCCTGGCTCCTGGCTTTGGTCAGGCCCAGTCCCAGCTTTCCTGGGCATTTGGGGAGTGAACCAGCAGACCGAAGTGCTCTCTCTCTGCTTCCAAATAAAAAAAATGTTAAAGTCTTATTTTGTCTGATATTAGTCTAGCCACCAGGCGACCTGGTCACTATTGACAAGGAAGGTATTTTTTCTGTCCTTTCTTCCAATCTTTTTATGTCTTTCCTTATAAGTAGCATACAATTAGATCATGTTCTTTAATCCATTCTGCCAGTCTCTACCATTTTATTGGAAAATTTAATCCCTTTTCATTTAAAGTTATTGATAAGGAAGGACAGTGGCGCCATTTTGTTACTTGTTCTCTAATGTCATACGCATTTTGTTTCTCAGTTCCTCTATTACTACTTCCTTTGTGGTTTTTTTTTTCCAGAGGGAATCATTTGATTCCTTCCCAGTTTTTTTTTCTGTAACACGTTATCTTGTTAGTGGCTACCCTAAAGATTATGATGAACATCTTAAAAATGATAGGAATCTAATTTAAATACCAAGTTTATTGATATACAAACTTCTGCTTCCAAATAACTTGAATCTTCTTTATGTTTTTGGTCACAAATGAAATCTTTATGGATTTTATGCCTATTGAGCTAGATTTATAATTATTGTTTCTGCATTTGTCTTTAAAATTAATTAAAGGAAAAACTGGGATTTACACATCAGGAATACAATAACAATGGATTTTATATGACGTTACTTCAACCGCTTGGGGAAAATGGATTTATATAAGTTTATTGCAATAAAATTTTGAAATTCATGCATAGTTTTTTTTTGTGATACACATTTTCCATGAACCTTTTGAATATCCCTCATATGCATCGCTTTCAAAGTTTCTTGCACCAAAATAACTTACCTTTTAACTCCATGTTCCAAACTTTTTTAAGTATCCTCATATTTTCTTATAAGTATTCTTTACTGATATTTCTTCTTCCTTTTTCTTTTTCTTTTCTTTTTTTTAAGATTCATTTATTTATTTGAGAGGTAGAGTTGCAGACAGAGAGGGAGAGACAGAGAAGTCTTCCATCCGCTGGTTCACTCCCCAATTGGCCACAACAGCTGGAGCTGTGCCGATCCGAAACCAGGAGCCAGGAGCTGCTTCCGGGTCTCCCATGCGTGTGCAGGGGCCCAAGGACTTGGGCCATCTTCTGCTGCTTTCCCAGGCCATAGCAGAGAGCTGGATCAGAAGTGGAGCAGCTGGGACTCGAACTGGTGTGCATATGGGATGCTGGCTTTACCTGCTACACCACAGCACCAGGCCCTGTGGGGGAAATCTACTTTCAGAAAGGGTGACTGCAGATTCTGGCTTCCACCCAAGATGTAGCCAGCAGGAAGGAACGCATTTCCTCTCCTTAGAACAGCAACATCACAAGGCTTGTTTAGTGTGAAATTCCTGAGTGTTTCTATTCAACCCTGCAGGGAGCTAAGGCAGAACAAATAACTGGCCCAAATCCAAGAGGAAAAGGGCCCCAACAAGAGAGAGGTGATGCCAACACACGCTGTCCTGGTGCCATCGCAGGAAGATGTCTAAGGCGACCAACCGCCCTGGCCTCCCAGGGGCCATCTTGGTTTCACGCTGAACGCTCCCTGTGCTGGGACGCCCTCCCCAGGGCAGAAGTCCCAGTGTTAAGTAACAGGTGAAGTTTGCAGAGCGGGGGTTTTTTGTTTGTTTGTTTGTTTGTTTTTTAATTTGACAGGTAGAGTTATAGACAGAGACAGAGAGAAAGGTCTTCCTTCCATTGGTCCACTCCCCTAATGGCCGCTCCGCGCTGATCCGAAGCCAGGAGCCGGGTGCTTCCTCCTGGTCTCCCATGGGGTGCAGGGCCCAAGTACTTGGGCCATCCTCCACTGCCCTCCCAGGCCACAGCAGAGAGCTGGCCTGGAAGAGGAGCAACTGGGACAGAATCCGGCACCCCGACCAGGACTAGAACCCAGAGTGCCAGCGCCGCAGGTGGAGGATTAGCCTAGTGAGCTCCGTGCCGGCCATGCAGAGCGGTTTGTAACCTCGTGTAGCTGCTCTTGCATCGCTGGCTGTTGGAGCTGACACATGCACACTGGAAGCATTCTAGGATGTGACGTCACGTGGAAGTCATACCTTAACTTGACGACACCTGGGGTGTGTAGCTCATCGATGGGCGCACAGGAAACCGGGCATCCTTTTCCTGCTACTCCGCTTCACCGGGCGGTGAGCGCCGCCGGACTTGCTCCAACTCCTGCTTTCCAGTTCTTTCCTCTGCTGCCTGCCTGGCCCTGCCTTCTACTAGTCCTGCTTAAAAAACAAAAATAACTACGGCAAATGTAGCAGCTTCAGACAGCTCAGATTTCTTCTCTGTCGGCCTCTGTCGCCCTCAGAAGTTGGAGGGAGCGATGGGTCTTCTGCTCGCGGTCTTGCAAGGCCAGCATCAAGGACCGGGGCCGGGACTGCTCGTCGGGGCCCTGGGCCAGCTTCCAAGATGACTGGTGTTCTGCAGGATTCACTTCCTTTTCTCCTTTCTTGGGTGGCTCCCTCCATCTGTGGGTCAGCACCAGTGGGTTGGACCCGTCTCATGCTTTGACTCTGACTTTCCCTTTCCGCTTTCTGCCTTTAGGGCCCCTGAGATTAGACAGGCCTACCCAGATAATCCAGGATAATGTCTTTATTTGCAAGTCAGCTGACCTGGGGCCCGCGCTATGGCGTAGTGGGCTAAGCCTCTGCCTATGGCACCGGCATCCCATATGCACACTGGTTCGAGTCCCGGCTGCTCCTCTTCTGATCCAGTTCTCCACTATGCTCAAGTGTTTGGGCCCCTGCACCCAGGTAGGAGACCTGGAAGAAGTTCCTGGCTCCTGGCTTCAGATTGGTGCTGTTGTGGCCATTTGGGAAGTGAACCAGCAGATGGAAGACCTCTCTCTCTCTCTCTCTCTCTCTCTCTCTCTCTCTTTCTCTCTCTCTCTCTCTAACTCTGCTTCTCAAATCTATAAATAAAATCTTAAGAAAAGGGCCGGTGCTGTGGCTCACTTGGTTAATCCTCTGCCTGCGGCGCCGGAATCTCATATGTGCCCCGGGTTCTGGTCCCGGTTGCTCCTCTTCCAGGCCAGCTCTCTGCTGTGGCCCAGGAGTGCAGTGGAGGATGGCCCAAGTGCTTGGGTCCTGCACCCACATGGGAGACCAGGAAGAAGCACCTGGCTCCTGGTTTCGGATCGGCGTAGCTCCGTCTGTAGCGGCCATTTAGGGGGTGAACCAATGGAAGGAAGACCTTTCTCTCTGTCTCTCCCTCTCGCTGTCTGTAACTCTGTCAAATAAATAAAATAAAAAATCTTTAAAAAAATCTTAAAACCGCAAAGTCAACTGTTGTACCAACTGCTCGCCTCAGGCCTGCTTTC